CGTCTTAATTTCTTTTAGCTTAGCTTCTTTTTTTTCAATAGTTTTCTGGGCAGCTATTTTTTTATATTCATACATCCTGGTTCCAGCTGCTTCTTCTATCATGGATAAAATCTAGAACAGCAAGTGCATTAATGTCATATTTCTAACAAAATGTACCTCAGTGCAATTTACACTAATGATATCATTTACAGACTAACTTCACTAAGCATCTTTCCAAAATAACACCTCCTTTGTCCTCCAAGACCCATAATATCACCTAAGTCAGAATGCAGGTGAAGTGTCCCCGCATCAGCCTCTGAACCTTGGCACAGGTGCCAAGAACCTGAATTTTCTTTGTCCTTCAATTTCTTTATCCAGAGTACCAAAGTCTCATGGCATCATTAAAAATTAAAGTAGGGCCAGCCAGACATAAGGTATGTATGCAGACTGAAGTGCCTGTTCAGGCAGACTCAGCAACTGCCGGCCCCACCCCTGGTGCTCACTGAGAAAGCAACTGAGACTGGGTGTGGTGACGCACGCCTGTAATGCCAGCACTTGGGAGGCTGAAAATACGTGGATCACTATGAGTTCAATCTGTGTAGTGAGACACTGTAGACCTTGTACTAAACATATAAAAAAAAAGAAAGAAAACTATGTATGGAAAAAGCCCTCTGAAAAACAAAAATAGTAATCAATTATAATTACATAAAATGGGCAATAAATCCCTAGCTCAAAGGGATTCTTTCTAAGGATACACTATAATGCCTATATATCTGTCAGGTTTCAAATGACCAGTTCCCCCTCAGACGCTAGTTACGGAAAATAAGCATGACCTATATTCAAACAACTAGTTTTTCCCATCATCAGTCCCATTAGATGCTCTCAGTAGAAAAAGACATTTAACGAACAATTTTTTTTATGTGAACAATTTTTTTTTTGTTCACATAAAAAAATTTATAAGAGGCTTTCATTCCAACTCTTTCCAAGGCAGTTACTAGAGAAACTAGGTCCATTAATAACCTATTCCATGAAACAAACTAATTTTACCCAAATCTTTCCTGTAAGGTTTTTCTATAGGAATTAAATCTGACACGAAATGCCTGCTAACCACAGGTGCTTTATATAGTTAAAATCTGTTTTAATACCAGGCACAATGTTAAACATTAACCTACTCTCTTTAGTCACATTCTCTTTTTTTTATTTATTTGAGAGAGAGAGAGAGAGAGAGAGAGAGAGAGAGAGAGAGAGAGAGAGAGA